ATGTATATCTCTGCATGAAAAAAACAGCTTTTCAAATACTGCAACCATATTCTAACCCTTTCAAAACACTCATTTGAGCTTTTCTGGTTTCCTTAACATGTAACGTCTGTCGTGACGTGTCGTCCATCTGTTTGTCTGAAAACTTTTTACATTTTTAACTTCTCTAGAACCACTGGGCCAATTTTACCCAATTCATATAGAAATATGTATATTTGTATGTCATACTGTCCATCTGTCTCAATAAATTTAACCTTGGTCATCACGGTCATATCTACTGAATATTAAACTTATGTATTAGTATTTACCTGTGAGAATGGCATGGTTTTTTTATGCGCCCGGATCGATAGATCTCGGGCGTATATTGTTTTTGTCCTGTCTGTTTGTCTGTTTATCTGTTTGTCTGTCTGTCTGTTGTCAACTTTAACCTTGGCCATAACTTTTGAACAATAAGAGATAGAGACTTCATATTTGGTATGCATACTCCAGTAATAAAGTCCTTTCAAATGACATCAAGGTCAATGACCTTGTGACCTTGACTGTGACCTATATGCTAAAAATAGCTTTTTCCACTGTTTGTCATAACTTTTTAACCATAGGAGATAGGGACTTCATATTTGGTATGCATACTCCACTAATAGAATCCTTTCAAACAACATCAAGGTCAATGATCTTGCAACCTTGACTGTGACCTATATGCTAAAAATAGCTTTTTACACTTTTTGCCATAACTTTCTAACCATAGGAGATAGGAACTTCATATTTGGTATGCATACGATATCGATAAAGTCCTTTCGAACGACGGCAAGGTCAATGATCTTGTGATCCTGACTGTGACCTATATGCTTAAAATAGCTCTTTACACTTTTTGCCATAACTTTTGAACCATAGGAGATAGAGACTTCATATTTGGTATGCATACTCCATTGATTAAGTTCTTTCGAATGACACCATGGTCAATGACCTTGTGACCTTGACTGTGATCAATATGCTAAAAATAGATTTTTTGAACTTTGTTGCCGCCGGGCGCATAGTGTTTCACAAACAAATCTTGTTTTTTTTTACCTGTGACCTAGAAGTTTGACCTACTTGCAAAAAAATTAAATTGTTATAAATTCATCATTTTGAAGGAGAAAAGTTAGGGCATTCATATCATAATGCATGTATATTATTACCTGTGATAAGACCTTTCCAAATAAATCATGATTTTTACTCTGTGACCTTGACCTTGAAGAGGTCAAGCCTCTACTTTTCAAAAATGTTGCATTTGCTTATAACTTTTGATTGAGATGAGATATGACTCTCACATTTGACATATACATTAATTACTCATAAGAATTCAAGGTGTTTCCCAGCATGTGATGCTTTTTTTTACCCCTTGACGTTGATGTTTTACATAATTTTCAAAATATTTAACTCTCCTAAAAGATGATTAGGCTTCTGAGTAACATTAAGGAAGACTTCAGGGAAGACAGGGCTTTTTTCACAAAAAACGTCATTTTTCGACCCATATTTGACCCCCCCAGGGCAAAATCTTAATTCCAAAACCTTACTGCACATCTACCTGACACCACCAACCATCTCCCAACAGATGATTAGGCTACTGTGTAAAATGTAGGAGAAGTTCAGGGAAGACGGGGCTTTTTGCATAAAAAATGTCATTTTTTGACCCCCATTTGACCCCCCAGGGCAAAATAAAAATTCCGAAACCTTACTGCACATCTACATGACCCAACCAACCATCTCCCAAAAGATGATTAGGCTACTGTTTAAAATGTAAGAGGAGTTCAGGGAAGACGGGGCTTTTTGCATAAAAAACATCATTTTTCGACCCCCATTTGACCCCCCGGGGCAAAATCAAAATTCCGAATCCTTACTGCGCATCTACATGACAACACCAATCATCCCCCAAAAGATAATAAGGCTGCTGAGTAAAATGTAAGAGGAGTTCAGGGAAGATGGGGCTTTTTGCATAAAAAACGTCATTTTTCGACCCCCATTTGACCCCCCGGGGCAAAATCAAAATTCCGAAACCTTACTGCACATCTACATGACACCACCAATCATCCCCCAAAAGGTGATTAGGCTGCTGTGTAAAATGTAGAAGGAGTTCAGGGAAGACGGGACTTTTTGCACAAAAAACGTCATTTTTCAACCCCCATTTGACCCCCCGGGGCAAAATCTAAATTCCGAAACCTTACTGCATATCTACATGACACCACCAACCATCTCCCAAAAGATGATTAGGCTACTCTGTAAAATGTAGAAGGAGTTTAGGGAAGACGGGGCCTTTTGCATAAAAAAACATCATTTTTCTACCTCCATTTGACCCCCTGGGGCAAAATCAAAATTCCGAAACCTTACTGCACATCTACGTGACAACACCAATCATCCCCCAAAAAATGATAAGGCTGCTGAGTAAAATATAAGAGAAGTTCAGAGAAGACGGGGCTTTTAGCATAAAAAACGTCATTTTTCGACCCCCATTTGACCCCCCAGGGCAAAATCAAAATTCCAAAACCTTACTGCACATCTACATGACCCAACCAACCATCTCCCAAAAGATGATTAGGCTACTGTGTAAAATGTAGAAGGAGTTCAGGGAAGACGGGGCTTTTTGCATAAAAAACATCATTTTTCGACCCCCATTTGACCCCCCGGGGCAAAATCAAAATTCCGAAACCTTACTGCACATCTACATGACACCACCAATCATCCCCCAAAAGATGATAAGGCTGCTGAGTAAAATGTAAGAGGAGTTCAGGGAAGATGGGGCTTTTTGCATAAAAAACGTCATTTTTTTACCCCTATTTGACCCCCTGGGGCAAAATCAAAATTCCGAAACCTTACTGCACATCTACATGACACCACCAATCATCCCCCAAAAGGTGATTAGGCTGCTGAGTAAAATGTAGAAGGAGTTCAGGGAAGACGGGACTTTTTGCACAAAAAACGTCATTTTTCGACCCCCATTTGACCCCCCGGGGCAAAATCAAAATTCCAAAACCTTACTGCACATCTACATGACCCCACCAACCATCTCCCAAAAGATGATTAAGCTACTGTTTAAAATGTAGGAGGAGTTCAGGGAAGAAAAGTGTGACAGACGGACGGACGGACGGACGGACGGACGGACGGACGGACATGAGTAACAACAATATACCCGAACTTTCTTTAGAAAGTGCGGGTATAATAATTACTGTTTCTAGCCTCTTTTTTAGTGCGTATGGAGTTGATATGCTACAATTCTCTGCAAATAAATTCAGTATTTTATAGATTTTCATAAATGATAATGTTTTACAAAGTTGTTTTAAACTTTTTAAATGTGTAATAAATTGCCTCAAGTGGGAATAATTGTTGTTATTGTATATACTCATGTGCTTAATATAATGTAGTGTAGAAATGTATGTACATATCCACTGACCGACCTCACTGCATGTTAAGTATCTTGTTAAAATGCTTTGAATTAAGTGTTTCATGAGTTCCAACATAACCCTTGAACCAACCCCCTTTCCATGTTTCTACTTTGACTATGGTTTTTATTCACGAGAAGCGCCTTATGTCAATGATTTTCAGTCGATCACCTGATATGACTAAGCTTTACATATGTTACATTCACGCATATACATGTAAATGTTATATGTCACTACCTCATGTACTTACATCACTTTTTAATTCATCATAGAATTTTCGAGGTTTTCTTATCTTTTCTATCATTTCGCCATTTAAATCCCTTAAAGAGCTAATTCCACGAATTTGTCAAAATCGGCCCAGTCATCAAAATAAATAAATTAAACTTTCTGACATAACACTTTTAAAGTTTGATCATACCTTAGGATAATATTCCTATAAATATTTTTTTTCTTCCCCTCAGTTTAATTTTCCTAATGTAATAAATCGATTTAGCCCATTCGTGGATTTCGCAATGGTCAAAACAAAGTCCTTATTATGAATACATTTCATCTGTTCTTTCATACATAGAAAATCATCATTATTTCACTGAAATGTCAATAGGTTTTCCGTTTAACCAAATATGACAAGGAGCACCGGTCGACAAGAGACGCTCAGTATTCCATGGCATCTAATCCCACCTCTTGGTTTCTTAATATCCCTGTTTGCTCTGCTTTCAATTTGTATTGTCTCAAATGACTTTTTACCAGGATTGCTGTTTTCTTCATTTTTCGTGATCAAGAAATTACTTCATTTGATAGAATGATGCAATTATATAACATTGTTAAAAAATGGTCCACTGAAAATATAAATATTGAGAGTGCATCAATGAAAATGGAGATAACGAACAGTATTCAAGATTAAAAGTCCGTAAAACAACACAAAACAGGAGCAGAGAAACTACTGACCTCCAAAACTTCAGAGGTGGGATTAGGTGCCATGGAGGAGTGAGCATCCCCTGCTGACAGGTCACACCCGCTGTGTGCTCCTTGACATGATCGGGAAATAACGGGAAAATCCGTCGTTAATAACATATTAAGTGATATACTTCGTTTTAGCACCATTTTATATTTTGCCAATTTATTTCTCAAATTTAACATTGTACAGCTACTAAGTATTTTCGAGATTTTCTTTAAAGTACAAAACATTGTTAATATGAAATTGAAACATATAATTTCTCTTTTTAAACCAATTTGAACAGCACAAGTGATCTACGTTTAAACACACGACCACGTTCTTTAAATCGTCATCAACATTCACATGGTTTAACATTTTATTCAAAGAAACTCAGTTTCCATTTTCACTTTTTAAGTTTGACACTGCATCTGTTAAACCTTTTCTCAATTCATTTCAATATTTTATTCTCTTAAAATGCACTATAGAGAAGATACAAACATGAAATATGTACATTACAATACAATACAGCATGCTGATTCCATTTATTAAATTAAAAAAAATAGCTTGTAGCTTAATTTGAGACATAAAATATGTCAACTTAGTGTAGATTTACCTTAAATATAAAGAGTAATCATTATTGTAACAACAGTTTCCCCCTACAACTTTCTGAAGTTCGTTTTCTGCCGCTCGGCAGCCATTTTGGATGCCATGTTGGGTGTCCACTGTAAATACAACACCTTGTATTTTCAGTCCGGGGATGTTTGGCCATTCATAAACAAAAAAAAAAAAAAAAAAAAAAAAAAAAAATATATTGATATTTTGGGAATGTTACAGGAAACAAACTTATTTTTTTTTTTTAAGCCTTAACTATTTTGATGAATTTACAAAGTTTATTGTTAACGGATACTTTTTTACATGAAAATAAATTTGAAAACTTGAAAGCACCTGGTCGAGTTGTATAATTTTGATGGGATTAACAATTTTCTTGGCGATCATTTTGGCGTCTTTCTCTCCTGTACCAACTGTAACAACTATCTCTCTAGATATGTCCTCTTGTCCTTTCTTCTTGACACACGGAAGGTGAAGCACCAGGTGGCAGACAGAACCGAGCGCAAACATCAGTCCTCCAAACCAAAACGAATAGCTGTATGATCCCATGGCGTTATATACTGCACCTAAAAATGAATACAAATATATCTCATACATTGCCACTTCTCTTTATTTCAATTTCATACAACTCAAGCAGCTGATTGTAGTTACATTAAAATAACAATTACCTCAAAGAGATTCTTCATCAGTATTGTTACCCATTTTAGCAATAATGATATTATACTTTTGAAAATATATTACAATAATATAATATGTATTCTGCACCATATGTATCAATTGAAAAGTATAGAACAAACTTTTTGGAGTTGTCTCCTTATTTATAAAATGTAGGAGACAGAGCAATTAACATTTTTTTTTGGCTTGTTTGGTTTATTTTGGGTGGGTTTCATCTTCAACTAGAGCTCATACTTTCCAAGCATTTTTATAGTAAGTGTTTAAACTTAACTTGTTCATACAGTGTAACATTACTTGTAAAATTAAACATTTTTAAATCAAACTTTATAAATATGATACCAGCTACAGGTGGACCATAAAGACCGGACACTCCTCTGGCCAGGGTCGGGAGTCCGAAGGCATTGGTCAGCTTCCGTAGTCCAAGCAGGTCACAAATAATGATTGGGGTTAATGACACGTAGGCAGCTATGTAAATGATACAAATTGTTTGTATTTTATTAGAATATTTAATGAATTCATGAAATTTCAATAATATTGCATAAAATCCATCTTCTCATATTGCATTTGCGTACACTTGCAGCTCTGAATCGAAAATGAACTATATCTAGGTCGAATAAACTGCATTTTTTTTATTTATGTGTTGTCTAGCGCTGTACAATTGCTGGGCAATAAATTTAATTAAACATTTTTAAAGAAAATAAAATCTGTTATTTACCCTAAGAAGTATTTTATTTAAACTACTCTTCGAAAATATTGAGAGACTTTGACTGCCTCACACACAAAGTTGGTTTGTTCCATACTTTTAGGACCTTTAAGAAGGAAATATCAAATGTTGAAATATTTTTTTAAAATCTGCAAAATTATTCTTAAGAACATACCCACGGAAAAGCCATATAATACTGAAAAGGCTACCAGAAGTCCATAGGATTCACAAAATGGCTCCACAAATAGAAGAACTGCACTCAGCACCAGGGCTACGTTGTTGATGACCAGAGAGTCGAATTTTAAAATGTCGACCAAGATCCCTGATGCTATTCTGCCTATCGTGTTGGCGATGCCTAATTAATAAGTTGCTAAAGAAATTAGTTAAAAGTACGCTAAATTGTACGAGAAGATAAAAATAAATCATGATCTTTGTTCCTTCTTTTTAATATTTAATTTAGACTATTACCTATGATAGAAAGCAAAAATGCAGCATCAGTTTCGGAAATGCCAGACTGTAGAGCATGATCGACTACATATGTAAAGGGAACGTAATATCCAGTTATAACAAAGATGTTTCCGATAGTTATCATGATAAAGGAGAAATCTTTTAGTAAGGAAAAGTCGAACATATATCTTAAATTGTTCAAAATTGACAATGGAAGGCGTGCACATTCATCCCAACATGCCTTTGTGGGAATATCGGGACTATTAATGTTACTTGATTTGTACTCTCCTAGGTTTGATGATGAAGACTTGAATTTGGGTATGTTTTGAATGCTACCATTGTTCGTTCTACACATGGGACAATGACGGTTTTCTACTTTGTCGATATCGTCGTTTAGTAATTGGGGATCGGACGATACGAGTTTTGCCTCCTCTATAATGTTATCCTCTTCCCCTGTTTTATTTAGCTCTTTCAGTTCAGATGATTCATCTGCATCCATTCTCCACGAGTCTGTGGTGGCATTTTGTTTCCTTTTCTCTGCTGTCTTTCTTCTTGACTTTTCGGCCTCTGCTTTAATGGAAGATTGTTTCTTTGGTGACTCAAGCGGCCTCATGAGCATACCAAATATACAAGCATTGAGGACAATACCAGACTGTATTATTAGTAAGCTCCTCCAGCTATAAACCTCCAACATGTAAGCGTTGGCAGTCGCAAACAATAGAGTTCCGATACCAGAACCACAGAGTGCAATTCCGGTTGCTAAAGCACGTTTCTTTTCAAAGTAATATCCCACTACCACTATGGAAGGGAGATATATCAGTCCAAATCCTAAACCTTGTTGCAAAAAATACATTATGTATTATAAGCATTAAACATGTTTGTGTTGAAAGGCAATCGGATTGAAATTTATCACATTAAAGGCTGGACATTTTACCTCCTAAAAATCCGTACGTCAAAAGGAGAGTTGTGATACTATCAGAGAACGATGCAGCAAAAAAAGCCAGAGAAGCAAATATGCTTCCTGTGATTGTTACAGCTCGGCATCCGAATTAGTTAGTCAGTCCACTGACTAAGGGACCTGAAAAAATGTTTTAAGATATTAAAGAGCTCTATTGTTTCATTTATTTAAATAACATATAACTCATCTAAATTTTGTAGAATTTTAATACCAACAAGGATCCAACTAACGCCACTTTTCCTCTGGACTCTTTAAAAACGTGAACCCATTTTGGTAAAAGAACTCCAAAGGAATAAGCTAACCCATCGACGACTGCATTACATAAAAAAGAACTGAACACTATTACCCATCCCCATCCGCCATCTGGAGGCGTGGAGGACGCGGATTCACTGGGGTGTTTGTCAGTTGTATCGAATGATTCGTCAGTATCTTGTTCTTTTTCCATCTCGGACTCCATATTTCTAGGATTAATTATCAAAGACTCTTCCATCAGTCCCTTATTTCTTTATTCTTTTTCACATTGCTTGACCGTGCGTTACTTTCACAAACTGGATTGGCCAATCTTAAATTAGAAAAAAATTTACACAGTATGTCTGAGGATTCACTCATAATTTCAACGCTATAGTTTTGTGCATGTAAAAATGATGTTCATTAAATAACAAACACAATTTTTTCAATTTAAGAGTCATGTATTTGCAAAGGTTTATGTTTCAGTTGGAATTACATTCTATCAATTTTGTTATTTTTAAAGGATTCAAACAAAAATAACGTAAAATTAGCTTAAAAACAGCGCAAGCTTCCTTAGATTTCAAACATAAAGAAATTGAATTATGTCTCATTCAAGAGCATGCTCTACGTAATATGTACAATTTTCAAAACGAGATAAGATATTGATAAACAAGTTGATGAAACATGAGTATCAACAGTCCCCTTTAAGGTTATCATTTCACAATTTCTACCGTCGATACAATATCTTGTCAACGAATACTATTTTATCATTAAGTCAAATGATTGCAGATGTTTTTATATTAATTGCAAGGCCATTATTTACACATGCACTGTACTGTCAACATTTTTTAAAAGAAAATTCCAATTATGACAAGGAGCACACAGTTTATGTGTGTGTGACAGGTTGACAGGTGATGCTTACTCCTCTTGACCTTGGAGTTTGGCCCACTTTTACAAAAATTTCAAAACTTTAACTGTTGCCTTAACTTTTGAACAGTTTGTAGTACGACTTTCATACTTTGTATGTGTATTATTTGTGACAAGACCTTTCAATTGTTATAAATATTTTTGACCTTGACCTTAGAGTTTGACCCACTTTGTCAAAAAACTTTAACCTTAGCCATAACCTTTAAGCATCTAGTACGAGGGCTTTCATATTTCACAGGTGTATTCCTTGTGAAAGACCTTTCTCTTGATACCATAAATGTTGATCTTTTGACCTTGGAGTTTGAATTGCATTTGAGAAACGTCAACCTCTGCCATAAACTGTTATACGGGAACATCAGTGTTTCTTAAATACATCTTGTTTTGGAGTTATTATCATAACCACACCTCTTCGCTGCATCCACGATGCCAGACAAAGTTGATGGCCAATATACGTTCAAGCAAATAATTCGTATCTGATATCTGATATTTATCTGATATGTAATAAATAAATACCCTTGGTATTATAGATAATAGTAAAATAAATATAACATTACTTATTAAAACTTTTGACCGCAAGACCATATTTCTGTTAAAAGTAGAGAGGTCAATTGAGGCTGGAAGACCGAATTGATTACATATACTTAATTTCTGGATCATAGATTTGAGGGATAGTAAGTAATGACCCTTAAATTAATGGTATCATTCAGGGTAGAAGCAGATAAAAATGAATGTCAATATTGTTCTACTTCCAACTGACACTTCAAGGGCTTATTTGGGATGTTATCCTTGACTTAAGCAATTTTGGCACTGAGAAAACAATTGCCTACAGGTCTATAATGTACCTAACATTGTGTAATTTTTGTGACCAGTTCGCGTAAGTCGATTAAATAACATTGTTCAAAGGTTTTCCTGTGTACCCATTCTTCCTTAAATAAAAAACCCTAGAAAGAAGAAATGTTATGAAAGACTTTGAGAAAATTCTCTTTAATATGATTATATTTATATGACTTACATGACAATCTTCATATATATATATATATATATATATATATATATATATATATATATATATATATATATATATATATATATATATATATATCAAAATCGCATAGGGGGTCAGTGTGCGTTTTTCTGAGCTACGGTACAATTAAGTTGACCTTTTTGCACTTAAATTTTAATTCTTTGGTTAATTACTTTAACCTTTATTATATTTTATCAGATGTAACCATGGCAATAAATATAATCTTATTTTACGTAAAATAGTTTGATTAAATATTTATCATTGAAAAATCGTGCAAATTAATGCGCGTAAATTATTGTGTGACCATTTTGCACTAAAAAGTAACATATTATGGGTATTAAAAATCTAAACAGGCAATAAATTATTTTCTTATATCAAACTTTTTACAGCTTAAGTGCTGATCAGTCACAAATACCCTGTAGTTTGAAATAATGAAAGAAAAAGTTGGGGTCAGTGTTGTTAATTTTGAAATATTGGTCAAAACGTGTGATTTTCAGGCGAAAAACGGTGCAAATTATATCTTGACTTTTTTAACATATCTTCATTTCTCAGCAAAGTTTGTTGAGGGAAGGTGTAAAATTTGTTCTAAAAATATAAATTGAGACCTATATTAAATATTCCTAGCATTTCATAGCGAAAAATATTCTCCGAGTAAAAGTATTTAAGGCTAAAGTTCCAAGATATCAAATTTAATAAATGTGCAGATTTGCAAGATTTTCTGCTAAATATCCTTCCACCACAAGAAATAGTCTCTCATAAATCTTGCTTCTTTGTGGATTTTTGAACAGTTTTTTTCATTGAATGTTGAATAATATACATTGTTGAATTTAGATATGTTATGCAAACTGAATTATAACAAATAGTTTTGAAGTAAGAGGTTCTGCGTGAACTTTTCTAAAAAGCTTACGATTGACATACCTTAAAGAATTTCGGTAAGCTTTGAACAAAGTTTTCTTGAAATCGGAAGCTTTAGTATGTTTAGGATGAGTATCGTTTTGAACAAAACTTTTTAAAGAGAAAATTAAGATTCGACGGCAAAATTATCCACTTGAGTACCAATTCTGAATGAAATGAAACTGAAACTATAGCTGAGTGAGTATTTTTCTGCCATAAAGCTATTGCATTGTAAATGCAATTTTCTAAGGTTTTCCGTTCCTTTTTCTCTAGAATTCCCGAGATAGCTTTTGACTTGACCTCAAAACTTGTCCCGAACTTGTCCCTGAAATTTACAAATGAAATACCACAAATATTTAATCGATATACAGGTGGAAACTTGAAAACTATATGAAGTTAACTACGTCCCCTTTAAATTTATAGGTATAATGCAAATATCAATAGATTCAGTAGAAGATCAGATCAGATATTACATTTTCCCCCGTAGAGAGCCTGTAAACTTGTAAAATATTAAGCAAAATTCTTATGTATATTGAATTTTCGCTTTCAAGGTAAACACACTAGTAATTATTTTCTGGTTTTTCTTTCAGTGTTGCTAAAACCTTAAACACTATCATACTTTATAATGGTAAATAATTCTGTGATTCAACTTGTACTTTAATCGAATTATTGTAGTAAATACCATAAAAAGTATTGAAAAATTATTTAAAATGCCATATCTTACAGCTGTTATCTAAGTTCAAACAAAATGTTTTTGTATAGACCTAACGATTACAAAATACACTTCAACATAAATATCAATTTTGCCATATTTAGTAAGGCAATAATTGTTTCAGTAATCAATTTTTGACCTATAGTTTAATAATGACTCAAGGTAGTCTTATTATTATACTATGGGTCAAAAATTATTACAGAAACAAGTGCCTGTGATTCGAAGGTATTGTAACAGATCGACCATTGAACTAGATGTTTCACTGAAAAAGTATGAATGACATTAAGTTATTATTCAGAGACAATTTGACCGATTGAATGTGAATTTATTGTAGTGGTTTGAAAGTTTCCTTTCCGTTTATTCTTTATAAACAAATCGATGTAGTTTCATGGTTATCAACATGCAAAAATGAAGATAGATATAGATTAAGAAAAATCTTTAAAAATTTTTAGGTAGCAACTGTTCCTTAGCACGATAAATGAAAGTAGTTGGTCCTTCAGATGAAACCTAAGAAACAGAGGCCTCGTGTCACAGCAGGCGTAAGAACGAAAATGATTCCTCATTGCTCGGTGAATTCCAGTGCCGAGTGAAGAACTAAAATTAAAGCCCTGCACCGGTATATTGTGACGTCTCTTTATGAGTGAGAAACTCTCGAATGACACGTAAACAACATACAATCAATCAATCAATCAATCAATCAGTAGGTAGATGAAACAGTCCGTATTCGATCGAACATAAAACTGCAACTCAATGATAAAAAAAATAAGACCTCTATTGAAAACTGTCTGCTTTCCATCTCCTGAATAACTGATTACACTGTATGAATGACATGATGACTTCAAACTTTTTAAAAGAGATGTAAAGATAGGTATAAGCTCGGTCTCGCCATTGAAAGTTCAATTTCCCTACAGATTTATCGATAAAAAAGAAAGAGAAGTCGATGTATTAAATTGGTATTTAATATACATCTAAAACTCAAAAATTTTGCAAATATCTCAAATTTCTATCAGATTTTTTTTTTCTCTTCTGTTGTTACATATACCAATTTGTTTCTTTTTTCAGTTTGGGGTTAAACTTGTTCACGCACACGGTTTGTATTGCATTGTAGGATGTACTTCTTTACCGACAATTGACCAAGACCCTTCTCTGAATGATTTTTATATCAAACAGACTATTGTGAGAGACTGCTATTTTCCTACTTTTCAAATAATTTACATGACCCCTAAATTTTGTCTAAACTTACTACAGCTTCTTCTTTCTTACTAATTAAAAACAAACTTACCCGAAGACATACATGGCTTTGTTTTCTTCTAAGCCTGTCTCAATATGGCTTTCCTCATGTCGAAGCTCAGTTTTATAAGTTGATTACTTCTTTCAGAGTTCATCAAAAACTGGGGCTTATGCTTTCTGGTGAATAACTGATTACACTGTATGAATGACATGATGACTTCAAACTTTTTAAAAGAGATGTAAAGATTATAAGACTGTGCCATTGAAAGTTCAAATACAGATTTATCGAACAAAAAGAAAGAAAAGTCGATGTATTAAATTGGTATTTAATATACATCTAAAACTCGAAAATTTTGCAAATATCTCAAATTTCTATAAGATTTTTTTTTCTCTTCTGTTGTTACATATACCAATTTGTTTCTTTTTTCAGTTTGGGGTTAAACTTGTTCAAGCACACGGTTTGTATTGCATTGTAGGATGTACTTCTTTACCGACAATTAACCAGGACCCTTTTCTGAATGATTTCCATACCAAACAGACTATTGTGAGAGACTGCTATTTTATTTTCCTACTTTTCAAA